GACTCAGTCTTATGCAACAATTTAATCGCAAAGGCTGAACATTCTTTTACTTTTTATGTTTGACATTACTTTACGAAAAAATATAACACATAAATGCATAAATATCGTTTTTTCCATACGCATTACATAACATGCAACTCTGTCTTTACTAATGTCGGCTCTGCAACGATGTTTTATACGCATCCTTTCCGTGCAGGATCAAGACAATTGCTAGTGAGACGTGAAATTTAGCACGGTGTGTGTCTGAACGAGATAACAAACATTGGCAACTGGCGATTTTAAACATTTACGCTGAATTGTTCTATTGCTGAACACTTGGAAAATTGTTGAAGTATTTTTAATTATCTTCATACGCGGCGAAAGTTTCTTGAAAACCCTTTCATCACGCTCTCTACAATGTTAAGCGATGTGTTGTTTGTTGTTTGTTGGTCTTTCATGGACTTTGGGGATCGGTGAACTGTAGTCCTGCGGGCATGCTGGCGATCGGTCGATGAGTAACCATGGGAGACCAAGGCCGTGCCTTCTAGCTCGATAAAACTACCACATCGCCCTACGATCCCTTGTATACTTGAATGCACGCTGTTTTTCGTACATGTGTGTGTGTCACATATTTTGCATGACAGACAAGAATGACGTTTGACGTCTAATAAGAGCGTCTATCAGCTTAATGACGGAATAATAAAGTATTTAAGGCTATCTTCCTAAAATGAATTAAAAACGATGATGTGAAAATTTATAATGGATGAAAAAAATTGCAACAGTATTTTGATGTTGAAAATATTGAATTTGGACTCAAACGAAGTACATAATTAATTCATACAAATTTTGATAAGCTTGTTTACATAGTTTTTTAAAACTTTATCAATTTACTTTATCAATAATACTCTATCTTATCATTTTCGATTATCATTCAAGGAAGAAATTACTTGTCTCGAGCATCACGTGACACAATAATGCGATTATAATATGTTCGATGATACTGAAAACGAATGTTAACGTCCACCTCATCTAAAATATAGATAAGCCACCGTGCTAAAAATGTATTTATTTTCCCATCAGTACTTTTGTAGAATCAAGAGACACGGTAGTGTCTCGCGCCAAGTTCACGCGCAGCGCGCAACGCAAGCGCAAGACCGACCGTGTATCTTTACGCGAGCCCGAAAGTTGAGACGAGCCGAGATTATCGGATCTCGATAACGGCTGGGCCGATTGAGTTGGCAATAGGCTCAATCGATAGCGCATACCCAAATTACATAAGAAAAGTCTGCTTGTTTTTGCTCTGTGTGCTTTATAAAAATAAATATATGCATTCAAAGTCGAGAAATCTAGAAAATCATCTCGCTAGGATGTATGTCGCGTTGATATGTATGTCGCTCGTGTCTTAT